ATAAACAATTTTAAGCAATCAAAATATATAACAACCATAACATACCATCAATCAGAATCATCACTAAAACAATTTACATGTACAACATCATCATTAATGAATTCGTCATCATTTATGAAATCATCATCATTATATGAAGAGTACGTATCACCACCGTTATCATCATCATTAATGAAACTGTCATTGTTTAAAGTAGGAGCCACACTTGATTCACCATCATCATCATTATCTAAAGAGTACATATCATCACAGTCATCAGAGTACGTATAATCATCATCTCCTAAGTTCACAACCAAGGAAAAATCATTTGATCGAGTGTCATTCACCACATTTATCTCATTAACACTGATACTTGGATGATCCCAAAATTTTCGATGATGAACATCTTCCACAACTCTCCAGTTAATGTTTCGGGTAGGATCTTGGAGGTAAAACACTTATTTAGCTTAAGTGGCTAAGATGTATCGCTGATCATCATACCATGTTTTATCGACATACCATATTCTTTTTCGTAATGACACATCCATCACTTAATGATGCATTGAACCATTTACCACGAAAGAGCACAACTGAGTAACCATGTAAGTAGTATAACTCTATGATGTTCTCTAGTTGACCATAGAATGGTGTACCGTCTACTCCTAATGTAAGAATACCCGTATTTTGAGTAGTGCATTGAAGATCACGATTAAGCACAACAAATCGAACACCATTTACTATGCAAGTAGTGTAAGAAGTTACATCTAATAGATCATGTGCCAATGCCTTTAATTCATTAGTACAACCCGGAGGCGATTATATTTCGAGACGATAAATTTGTAAGGAAATATAATATTGCATGTTTAAGTAATAATATAAATTAGTTTTATATGATAAAATAGAATATAAGGCACTTACTTTTCTTTTGAACCATGGAGGAAATTCTATTTTCAAATCACTTTCAGGCGATTTTGATTCGAATTTTTTGGATGTAGGACAAAAAAATTAGAATAGTTTGAAGATATCATAACACTATTGAACAAGGAGTTAATAGATCACAAAACTTACAATATGTAGCCTTTTAGCTCATCCTCATCACAGTTGTTTAGTACAAACCAATGTAATGATTTTTTAGCCTCTTTGTAGAGTTCGGTAAGCTTCTTAGTGGAAATCGGTCGACATTGTGATGAGAACACAGAAAATTGCCTTTTTGGAAGGTCACGATCCTCATTTCTATCAACATGATTGAATTTGGTTTACATACCCTCAAGAAACATAGAGCAAAATGTCAAAGCTTCGTAAGCAACATAACTCTCTGCTACTGAGCCTTCTAGCTTGGCTTTGTTTCTGACATAATTTTTAAGTTTTTTCATATATCTTTTAAAGGAATACATCCATCTCATGTATATAGGCCATCCAAGAATGGCTTGTAACATCCCGACTCTCAGGTATTATATTTATATATTTATTTTTGGGATTTAATAAGTAACTCGACGAGTTGTGTGCCCGACTCGTCGAGTAGAGTTGGATTGATCATGTGGGTTTAATGACCAACTCGACAAGTCAGAGAGCCGACTCGCCGAGTTGGCGTTGTGTGAGGAAAACCTAAATCCCTGTGTTTGTGTCCTATTTAAAAATAAAAAAAATTGGTGTGAAAATTTACGTTGTTACAAGTTGGTATCAGAGCTTTGGTTTGAGGGTTTCGGGTGTACCTTAGGGTATGTCTGAACTCAAACTGAGGATTTGAGAAAAAAATTCAAAAGAAATGAGTTTTCTAAAATGAGAAAGAGTTTTAAGAGAAAACGAGTTGGAGCAGTGTGTACAATCAGCCAGAGCCCGAACGATGATTTCCCAAAATACCCTTACTTATTTGTGTTATGAGATATTTATGAGATATTAGTGATGCATGCTAGAGGATAAACTAAATAATTCATATTTAGGGCTAGAGTTGCCTGATTTGTGATGCCTTAGCCTAGGAGTCGTTGCTATCTGTTATGTGCCTTGAATATGTGCTGAGTAAGAATATCTAGCAGGAATAATTTAGAGAGTTCTGAGTCGAGAGATAATGTAGGAGAGATACCTATATGAGAGATCTACTGAGAGGGTAGTCTGTTATTTGTGAGAGTTAAAATACTTTTGAAGTGGGATCCTAGGAGGAGGACATGGGGTGAGTATAGGTTGGTTCCACTCTCCTTTCATATATTTATATTATTTTTCCACTACTTGTGGATTCCACACTCCCTTCCAGTTTTCTATTCGGGGCTTTTGGTTCCACTCACTTTTCATATATTCTACTTATCTTTCCATCATTTGGGTTATGTTTTACTTATTTTAATTTCATTATATTGATAAAAATATAATATATTGTTTGTAATAGTATAAGTATATTAATATATTAACCATCTTAAGTTTTACTTCTTATGATATGGGTTTGATTTTTTTATTAGAAAAATACGTAGTACAAAAGTAAATTTATACAGTATAATAACTAGACACTTTAACAAAATATAAATCGAATTAGCATAGAAAGATCTTTCTTTCCTAGACATCATTTGGGTTATGTTTTACTCTAGCTGTTTGTTTTTATTAGTTATTTGGTACCTAGTTGGGGACTTATTAGGCATTTAAATTGACACACCATAATTAATAGGATGCCACAAGATCAAAATAAAGAAATGGTAATGGAGTACAGGTAAAATGTTGCTATAATCGGTAAAAAAAATTGTAAGTATTTAGCTATTACAGCTAAAAGTCCAGGTATATTGCCATAACAGTTGAAGAAGCAAAACTTGTTGCTATTTACAGCAATTGGCCTCACTTGAAAATAACCTGTAGACATATATATTTTTCTTTCCTAGACATCATGATGTTGGCTTCTTTATTTTATTTTTTGCTATATAATGCTTTAATATATGATGGTGCCTTTAAGCTTTAGTGGTTAGCACTAAAAATCTAAAACAAGTAGTGGACCACTGCAATTAGTATTACACAATATGCACTGTATTATTATGAACAGTTAGTTTGCTCACCAAAATGTTAACAGATTTTGTGATACGTTTTGAAGGTCCTTTTAATAATCAGAATAACAACATGGCTCTAGGGAAGCTGAATTATTGTGCAATGATTTTGTAAATAGAAATCCTAAAAACTCCTGTGATTGTTATGAAAGCAATGATAAGATTATAATTGTTATGAAAGCAATGATAAGATTACAATGCTTCTGTAATTCTGTTTAAGGGGATGGTGGCATGGCATCATAAAAATCAATACAAAACGAAAGTTTGAAATAGCAAAGAGGAATTAGCACATGGAACTTTTGAATTATACCTAAACTTTCAACTTGTGTATACTCATTTGAAATATCTAATCGCTTTCTTGCTTTTGCTCAAACATATATAGCCGGTTATAAGACCGTGTCACCAATGTCGAATACACTAAAAAAAAGCTAGTGGAATATGGCACTAAGAAATTAGAATTAAACAGTACACATTGTATTATGATTATGAATACGTACTCTACTCACGGAAACACCTTCCTTAGAAATTTGATTACTTGCTCTTGATAAATTATAAAAAATAAAAAAAGTGGAAATGATGCTGATAAAATCAGTTGTTCATATTTGTGTAGCAGGATAGGTTGAAATGCATTACAATCCAAGTAGCATATACTTCAGATAACAATATTCTGTAATCTGTATGCAAACACATTGAAATCACACTAGACTCTAATCAAGTAAAAAAAGACATGCATGCATTGGTTAGTTTGTCACCATGGCTCTGATACTATTTATTCAGTTTCAATTCTTTTAGTTTCTTTATTTGAAAGTATTTGTTTGGAAAGTAGCTCGATATATTAGACTTTAGAGGAGCCTTCTCCTCCTCCTCCTTTTCCATTCAATATTTTATGCTGTGGGTGGTGTGGATTCCACATTCCTTCCATTTTTTAAACTCGTCTTTATGGATTCCACACACCATTCAATTTTATATGTTTTGAGACACTGTTTCATTTTTATATTGAGTGGATTGTGGCAGTCGTATGGACTCCACAATCCTTGTTTTCTTATTGAGATTGATTACTCTAACTTTAGTTGTGAGTGCTCACTCTTTCCTTTTCATTATATTTTAAAAGAAGGGTAAGTTCTCCCTATTATATTGTTCAAGTAGAACACTTCACAGCACAAAAACTTACTCTGCTAGAAAAAGAATATTCCATGGCATAATGCAAAGGTAGGATCATCTTGCAGGTCTAAACCTAATAGATATACAGTAAATCTTAAACATATGCCAGGGTAACAAGCATGAATCCAATAGAGATAGGAATGTTTGGTACAAATGAAACAAATAGATATAAAAGCAACAAACTAATAATACTTATAAAAACAAATTATGTTGGGGTATACATATGTTATAACACAACTTAAACTGGCATAGAAATAATGAGCCACTCAAGAAAATGGTGATAGTTCCACTGGCTTTTGGTTGGTAACTTAATTTGATATCAATGTGCTCCCTAATTAAGGTAGTAATTATCTTATCAATTCAAGTGGAAGATATCTTTAATAGTTAATACTAATGTGGGAAAACAGAGAAACATTTGTGTTGTCCTACTCCTGTTGCTTTTATAATTCTCCCAGGAGGATTGCACTCTTTTATTTAACTTGTAAATAGTTTCAGTGCTATTTTCTTTTTTACTTATAAAGGTCTGTGTATGTTTTTCTCATTTAGATGGCAAGTGCATGGTGGTAATCGTGTGGATTCCACAAGCCTTGAATTTTTTAACCATCAAATCTTCCCTTGTTTTGTATGTAATATTGGCTCTTTCTATTTCTTTATAATAAACATTACCAAAATCTGAGGGGTTGTGGATTTCCCACTATCTTTAACTTTATTCACCACCTACTCATTCATCGTTATACAGAAATACATACTATATATAACAACACATAGGGGAGACAAGTAAGTAAGTAACATCTCATCTATCATTCTTTGTGACATAATTTTCTCATTCTTACGTTCACCATCATGGCTGGAAATATCGATCTATGCATTCGGGTTTCTGAGGACAAATCTGAACAAGAACATGGCCAAATCTGTATACAAGATGAAGAATTTGACTACTCAAAAAGGGGACAGTGGCTGCGTGCTGCTGTTCTGGGAGCCACTGATGGTTTAGTCTCAGTTGCATCTCTGATGATGGGAGTTGGAGCTGTGAAGGAAGATGTGAGAGCCATGATTCTTACAGGCTTTGCTGGCTTAGTTGCAGGTGCATGCAGTATGGCAATAGGTGAATTTGTTTCAGTCTACTCCCAACGAGATGTAGAGGTGGCTCAGATGAAGAGAGATAATAGAATTTCAGGAAATGAGGAGGAAAGTGAGAAGGAAGCACTCTCGAATCCCATTCAGGCAGCTGCAGCATCAGCCCTTGCATTCATGGTAGGGGCCATCATGCCCTTGCTGGCTGCTGCTTTCATAATGGACCATAAAGTTAGGCTGGGGGTGGTGGTAGCCACAGTGAGCTTGGTGCTGGTGGTTTTTGGGTGGATTGGAGGTGTTCTTGGGGGGAGTCCTGTGGTGAAGTCTTGTTTTAGGATTCTGGTTGGAGGGTGGATGGCTATGGCTGTTACTTTTGGACTTACCAAGTGGATAGGCTCTACTGGCTTGTAGTTTGTATCATAATGTATTTTCTCTTTTTCATATTGCATGGTTTCAAACTTGAACTTTATGTGTATTATATTCCAGCTAGCCATAAGTTCAGCCGTAAGGCTGTTGGCTCCAAAAATATCCTGCCAATCCTTAAACCTCAAAAATATCTAGACAATTTCTCAATTGGATTAACTCTTAATGCTTTTAAGCTTATATATATATCCTAACAATCCTTAAATCTCATCATCCTTATCCATTGATAGTAAACATATTGGTAATAATTAATTACGGAATACCAGTTTATTTTATCTCTTATTTGGTGCTAGTTGGGTACTTATTTGGCATTTATATAGTCACATCATATTTTAATAGGATGCAGGATGCCACATAATCAAAATAAAGAAATGGTAATAGAAAACACGTAAAATTGTTAGGATTGGTTAAAAAAATTGCATGTATCTTGATGTTAAGGGTAAAAATCCAAGTATATTGTCATAATGGTAAAAGAAGCAAATTCTGTTGCTATTTACTGCAATCGCCTCACTTTAGAAATAATCTGTAGACATTGTATCATATCTTATTTCATTCCTAGCCATCATGATGTTAGCTAGCTTCTTTAGTTTTTTGTGTACATGCTTTAATATATGATGGTGCCTTTAAGCTTTAGTGTTTAGCACTCAAAAATCTAAAATAGATAGTGAGTGGACTACCGCAATTAGAATTAGACAATATGCACTGTATTATGAACAGTCTGCTCACCAAAATGTTCTCAAAATTTTGTGATATGCTTTGAAGCTCCAAATCTGGAGCTCCAAGTGGATAGGCTCTAGGCAAGCTGTATTGATAAACATTCTTTTGTTTTTGTTATTGTGCAATGATTTGTAAATAGAAATCCTAAACTCCTGTGAATGTTATAAATGGGAATGATAAAATTGGCACAAAGTAGGGAAACATAGTGAAGATTATATTTGTTATAGTCCTATAATTCTTCTATACGTAATTCTGTTTAGGGGATTGGCATCGTAAAAATCAATACAAAGTGAAAGTTTGAAATAACAAAGAGGAAGTAGCACTAGTTATTATCTTTGGATTTCATGGACCTTTTGAATTTTGATTATATCCTAAACTTTCAACTTGTGTATACATGCTCTCTAGGGGCCTACTCATTTTATGAGGTTCATCAATATTCTCAGCATATGCTATTGTGTGGATCCCACTGTCTTTTTATATATTTTAATTGTCTTCCACCACTTGGGGTTGCATTCCCTTTTTGTGTAATTGTTAAAGGATTTTTGATATTTTCTCATTTAGATGTTGAGTGCATGGTGACAATCGTGTGGATTCCACAAGCCTTGAATTTTTTAACCATCAATCTTCCCTTCTTTTGTGTGTAGTATCGGCTCTTTCTATTTCTTTATAATAAACATTACCAAAATCTGAGGGGTTGTGGATTTCCCATTATCTTTAACTTTATTCACCACCTACCCATTCATCATTATACAGAAATACATGCTATATATAACACATAGGTAGGATTCTATCTTCCACAATTAACACTTCATCGATCTATCATTCTATCACACCAATCAACAATTAATATAAAATAGGGGAGATAAAATTGGTAGAAATATGGTAACTCCGAGTTTTAGGGACAAAGCCTAGTCATGAACAGTGCGAGATTGGATTCATGTATATGGTCTGTAAGATCTTAAGAAACCCCAAAAACTGCTATTCCGTATGTATTAATTAATTATACCAATATGTTTACTATCAATGGATAAGGATGATGAGATTCAAAGATTGTTAGCATAAGCTTAAAAGCATTAAAAGTTAATTCAATTGAGAAATTATCTGGATGTTTTTGAGATTCTACGATTGACCGGATAAATATATGGAAAGTTGGCATGAAGAGGATTTCCTATCTCATAAATAATACATGTTTTTGCATATTCAGCCAGTTGCCATAATTAATCAAGTATAAATCCATCCTATGATGATGGATGGGAAGAAAGTAGCAACATGAATACAAGCAAAAATGAACTTTTGCTTGTTAAAGTGTTATTATGATGGAATTGGGAAGTCAACTGTTGTGTGGATTCCACAACCTTTTAATAAACTAATATTAAAGTTTCCAACTTTCCATTTTCACTGTGGAGAGCACACTCCTTCCAAATTTTAAAGTTGCAATTACTTCATTCCGTGATGCAATTGCTATCCTACACACCTTCCACCTTTCTAGTGGTTTTCTTGTATTGTTTAATATCATAAATTAGCTTGTTTAAGAAGCACAAAGTTTATAAAATGTATTATTATGTAATTTGATTTATTCTAGTTTTGATGCTTTTTGCTTAAAGTCTTAAACATGTAGACTATTTCATTGGATAAATGTGCTTACAAGTTACAACTAAACTGTGGGTAGTACACTCATGTTGAACAAAAGCTTCTAGTCATCCAAAGAGAGCTTTTTGCAGCTGTCCAATGAGCCAAATACCAGAATCTCTGCTTCAAGTTTTATATTTATATTTAATTTTTATTTTTTAGATGTAGAGGTGGCTAGATGAAGAGAGTGATCAAGGGCTTTTGTGTTCTGTGTTGCTAGTTATCTTCAATTTCTTTTTACCATGTATGCATTGAAAGGTTTTCCATCAATCTCATATGTATTTACTTGTTTCTTTTGATTTCTGTATTTTCGATGAAGTGATATAGTGATATAGTACCCTTTTATGTAATGCCATTACTTAACTGTTTTGTTTGAAAGCAACTGTCTGGAAAATACGTCAATACATTATACATCAAAGAAAGAGCCTTCTCCTTTTACAATTTGTCTTTATGTTGTGGGTCGTGTGGATTCCACACTCCTTCCATTTTTTAAACTCATCTATCTTTCCACCACTTATGGACCACATACACCATTCACTCGTTAAGTTTTATATGTTTTGAGATATACTCTTTGATTTTTATATTGAGTGGATTGTTGCAGTCGTGTGGACTCCACAAGATTACTCTAACTTTAGTTGTGAGTGCACACTCTTTCCTTTTCATCATAAGAAGCTTAACTTCTCCCTTATTATATTGTTCAAGTAGAACACTTCACAGCACACAAAATTATTATGCTAGAAAAAAGAATATTCAGTAGCATAATGCAAAGGAAGGCTCATCTTGCAGGTCTAAACCAAATAGATATACAGTAAACCTTGCACATATGCCAGGGTAACAAGCATGAATCCATTAGAGACAGGAATGTTTGGTAAAGATAAACAAACGGATATATATAAAAGAAACAAACTAATAATAAGCATACACATAAAAACATAACATAAACTGGCTATTCCATCCTTAGTCAGAAACCAGGTGAATGGCTGGTGATAATTTGCATATCACATTAAATAAACAAATTTGCAGAGGTGCAAAACAGTAATTAGTAACTGGCATAGAAATAATCAGCCACTCAAGAAAATGTTGATATATAGTTCTATTGGCTTTTGGTTTGTAACTTTGATATCAATGTACCAAATTCCTTAATTAAGGTAGTAATTTTCTTAATAATGGAGGAAAACAGAGAAACGATTATATTGTCCTACTCCTGTTGCTCCTATAATTCTGTCGGGAGGATCACACTCTTTTATTTAACCTGTAAGTTGCATGGTGCTATTTGTTATCGTAAAAGTGGTCAACAGACCTGAAAATGAGTCTACTCATTCTCTTAGGTTCTTCAGTAAGTGTATATGTGGTTCCCATTATCTTTTCATATATTTTGCTATCTTTAATTCCACCACTTGAGGTTACTCCTCCCTTCTCTTTACGTAGGAAAGGCTGTTAATTAATGCTTTTCACATTTAGATGTGAAATGCATGGTGGCAATCGCGTGGATTCCACAAGCCTTGAATTTTTTATGATCCATCTTCCCTTGTTTTGTATGTAGTATTGGCTCTTTCTATTTCTTTATAACTAACATACCAAAATCTGAGGGCTTGTGGGTTTCACACTATCTTTAACTTTATTCACTTCCTACCCATTGATCATCATACAGAAATACATACTATATATAACACATAGGGGAGATTCTATCTTCCACAAGTAACACATCATCTATCATTCTTTGTGACATAATTCTCTCATTCTTTCTTTCACCATCATGGCTGGAAATATTGATCTATGCATTTGGGTTTCTGAGGACAAATCTGAACAAGAACATGGCCAAATCTGTATACAAGATGAATTTGACTACTCACAAAGGGGACAGTGGCTGCGTGCTGCTGTTTTGGGAGCCACTGATGGTTTAGTCTCAGTCGCATCTCTGATGATGGGTGTTGGAGCTGTGAAGGAAGATGTGAGAGCCATGATTCTTACAGGCTTTGCTGGCTTAGTTGCAGGTGCATGCAGTATGGCAATAGGTGAATTTGTTTCAGTCTACTCCCAACGAGATGTAGAGGTGGCTCAGATGAAGAGAGATAAGAGAATTTCAGGAAATGAGGAGGAAAGTGAGAAGGAAGCACTCCCGAATCCCATTCAGGCAGCTGCAGCATCAGCTCTTGCATTTATGTTGGGTGCCATCATGCCCTTACTAGCTGCTGCTTTTATAGTGGACCATAAGGTTAGGCTGGGGGTGGTGGTAGCCACAGTGAGCTTGGGGCTGGTGGTTTTCGGGTGGATTGGAGGTGTTCTTGGGGGGAGTCCTGTGGTGAAGTCTTGTTTTAGGATTCTGATTGGAGGGTGGATGGCTATGGCTATTACTTTTGGTCTTACCAAATGGATAGGCTCTACTGGCTTGTAGTTTGTATCAGACTAATGTATTTTCACCTTTTAAGTTCATCAACAATTGCTAATATCTGTCTTTGTTTATGTTGCCCTTCAAGATCAAGAAGTTGTGTTTTTTAATAACTTCATTCCTGCTTAGTATGGTTTGAAACTTGAACTTTGTGTGTATTCCAGCTAGCCATAAGGTTAGCGGTAAGGTCGCTGGTTCCAATCCTACCGAGTTGTGATTGGCAATCCATAAGGTGTTTTCATGTGATATATAA